ACTGTTAGTACGAAATCAAACGAAAAAAACATACAATGTTCGCATTACAAACATACGAAATTCTGATTCAAATGTGTTTACTAGTAATAATATGCTTATGTTCGATATTTTATCAGAAATATCAACTTTGTCATTTGTATTCATCTGAATTTAAGCGTCAAAATCTAAAATATTTTTGCAATTTGTACGAGAGTGATCAATCTTTGTGGGTTGGTGGTTTCAGTTCAGTATGTATCATTAATGCCTTTATAATTAACATCAAGCTTTTTAGAGTGCAAAGTATTGTTCTATGCATCATACGCCCATAGCGCAAACATCAATGAATTGTGTGAACGCAGATAGACCGAGTATGCGAATCGGGCATCCTACTTATCTTTATTAACTTGTACTATACATTGTAAATACGTCCACCAAGGAGGTCTAATCAACCTACTCTTGTGTGTAATATACCACCCATGGTGCATTGAGTCCTGCATCATTCTTCTATTCAGCTCTCAGACGGCGATACATAAAGGTTAAAACCACCATCACCACCGCTAGCTGAAGATGTTTTGATGAGCATCTTGGACTAGCATTGCTCGCCCGATCAGTGTGTTACACTATGCCTATCCTCAATCGACGGCCATCAGCTGTGAACAATAATGCGGACGTTGTCGAGATGATCAACTTTGTGCAGAAAATCTGGACACAAGATGCATTGGAAATGCGTGGCACATACGGCAAATTTCTGTTCGTAGCTTACAATATAACACAGTATGTCTAGCGTACTCGTACCATAATTTATATGCAGACTCAGTACTGGGTACATTGTAATTTTACAATTTCAATACATAGCAAAATAATATAAAGAATCATTCAGTAATCGACACATTCTGGGTAAAATGTATGAATTTTGTCTGACACCAATGTTCAATTGTATAAGCGCGAATATGTCAAGAAGTTGTTCGTCGTTATGGACCAGACAAAATTATCCTGAACATGTAGATTTATATTCTCGTTTTAATGGTTCATATTATTTTACACCCGTCGCGATATTCTTGTCCGTATCTTATTTGTAAACAGCAGCCTTTTCGACCTGCAACAGTACCGACAAAGTTTTTTTTAATCTCATTTACATTGCTTCCTTTTGTAAATTGTGACTACACATCTTCCTATACTAGCTGAATTGTTTGCTCTGCATATTGTGCAGAATATAGAAACAATATATTGAACTGCACTATCTCTTACCAGTCAATCGCAAAACCCACCTAGGTAAAAAGGAACAGATATAAAATGGACACGTAGTACACTAATTTGAATTAATGAGACTTAGCTGTGTTAAAAAGGGTAGTTAGATGCTAATAATTACGTAATCAGCATTGAAAATGGACTTGCTTTGACATGGATTATATATTGTAAGTAGCAGCCCTACTGTATTAAATATAATCACGTTTCTCAATCATCGTCATCTAGCTTCCGTTGACTGCACTTTGACATTATTCATGAGTATTTAATCCTCAGTTCTTACGCGCGCTCATCACGCGCAGGAGGAGCGTATTACCCATTGGACACCTTGATAGTAAAGTTTATGGTTTCTCAAGGTTATATTAATACTTTAAATATTCTAATTAGACATTACTGTCTTATTCAGTACGGGTACAATATACAGGGATGACTGCTAGCTGCTGTTGCGTAGCGCTAATCATTGCGTGTCTTAGTTATTCCCCATCACAGGCAAATCCTCGACAGGCTTTGGTGGAGTCCGAAATTCAACCTGATCATCTATGATGCATGATTAGATTTATTATGTGACATGTTATGGTGCGATTTACGTCTTAACAAACAACCATAATATTGACACAATTGATGCGAAATTAAAGCACTGGGAGATCCCATAGACATTGTGGCTTGTTTCAGCCAATTCGCACACGCAAATTATATTCGGATAAAAAGAATATTCTCAATTGACAAAAAATGTGATGTCAATTGCATGTAACTGCTTCCCATAATACATTATTGGACAGCTTATCCGTCAAATATACGCACGAAAAAGCCAAGTGTTTTCTGATCTTACAGACAAGTATAGACAACGAGAAAAGAAGCACACTAGGGTCAGCCTAATTTCCCTTTGGCAATATGAATGTCGATGATAGGCGTCAATACTGGAATTGACTCAAAATGTAATAGGGCCAGTAACAAACATGACTTAGATGCAAATGATTATCCCAAACTTGTAAAGTTAAAAGGCTGGTATACATTCTTCCTTACTGCGTTATATTTTTTAAATTGTGACAAGTTTTTCATCAGTAAGTCCTCGAATTTTTATCCGTATAATTCAATCTTTGTCGAATCTTGTGTTTTACGCAGAGCCACGGCGAACTTGTAACCAAGTTCCAGTCTTTTCCTACCAGTCATTAATTAATATATTCACTATGATGACGCGCTGCATGCTACAACTTGTGTATAGTCAGACCTCAGAGCTATAAATCGCTGCAGGCTGTGACGCTGCATGGGCGCTTGTAGATGTTGCAGCCATAATCATTAGTAGTGCAGTTGATCTCATCCGCTAAATATAATCAAGAGTAGAGCGCAGTGTGTTGAGACATACGTATTGAAGCAGGAGTATGAAAACGACAAGATTCTTGGTCGTATGGCGGAACCTGATTGACCACGCAGATTCGGACTAGTCTCGGTCACAAAATAGTGCACTCAAGAAATACGTGACGGTGAATAGTCGCGTAAATGATCTGGCGTTGAAGGCTGGCTTGGCGCGTCTGCGCTCTACGGGAATACGTCTATGTCGTAAACACTGCAAAGGTTACGAAACCACAGTTTACACAGGCTAATTACATCTGCCACATTCTGTAGCGGCATTGAGGATATGATAATCTTTCTGCTGAGCCAGAACATATACGCTGAGTTCCAGGTCGCTCTCGCCTACGCTAGCATCACGGTCGAGCCTCATTTATGCTGTCTGCGTGCTAACGAAGATGCAACTAACTCTCTTTTAGCACAAGCTATGCATTCTCATCACTATCGAAGGACATGGCCGGCACCTTGACATGGGAGGGGTGTATTGACGCATGGCAGGGATATGTGTAGTACGCTGTACAACGTACAACGTACTGTCACAGAACATACCATCAGCAGGGCACTGACACCGACTGTTTGCAATGTGTCAATGTGCTACAATGACTTCTTTGTCAGTCATCATGAGCATTTGACGAGCCAATCGAAGTAGCGATGTAAACTAGCTAGCAAGCGACCATGCCACATTCCATGCAACGTAAGCTCAGACGAGATGAACAAGATACGTATTCTTTCCGCCCAAGTTAAGATCATGTCGTCTTCTTAATTTGATACAAGACCTGCATGAGGTTGTGACTTTTGTCACCGAATTACATCGTAAAGTCTGTTGATGTCACTAAAGCGATCAGAAACAGGCACTTGCCACTTCCAAAGCGAAGACGTTGCTCGTCATGCTCCGGTATAGCTCATTGTAGCAAGAACCACAGGACGCTCACTTTTTAGGCGATTAAACAGACATTCGAATAGCTAACGACCTTATTTAAAGTTGAAAGAGGCAAATTTGCATCGTTGAGCTCATCAGTCCGACAGCGTACACACATTGTGTCGTCGTATCTCCGTGCTTGAGCACCGGGATGTCGAGATAATCCTTTTTAATCACAAACAGGTGTGATGGATGAACTTACTTTCTGATGCGCGTGTGTACATTCAAGTCTGGCAGACGTCCAAGCTTTCCCATGATGCAAAACACTCTGGAAAGCTGGCATGTCCCTTGCGGGAAGACGCATGCTTGACCATGGATGTACCAAAAACTTGTGACTTACACCACTTCCTCGGGATACGTTGACACCGATAATTTAAGAATCGTCTGCAATAGCCAACACAAGTTAATTGGCTGCTACGGGGGGGTAGCAATCGAGCAAGCTAACGTCCATACCGAGTGCTGGATAAAACCTAATGTGGCTTCTACTTGACTACAGAAGATTGGGCTATGGTTGGTCGTGGATATTCTTTGCCATAACACCAACGCTTACAAGAAGATTGACTGCTGAAGCGCCAAGAATAGAAAAGAAGGTGCGACCGTATCAAGTGATTTACAAACATCCAACAGGAGGATCGCCCGACTTAGCACCCATGCAACCCTTGCTGGATCTTGACGATATTATTAGACGGCCGACATTGTTGCCACCATCTGGAGCACCTGACCCTCATTGACAATGCCCTGCTGTGGCTTTTCGATCAATTAAACAGTGACTTGATGCACTCGTCGAGCTATACTCCTAGGAAACCTTTTGTATCTGTTTGGAAGGCATGCGATTAGTCTGTAATCTATCGCGCCATTTGAGTCTTCATGTTTCATAGCGTCCGAGTCGGGTCGCTAACCAATTTATGTAAGCACATTGCGTGATGCGACCATTGCAGAAATTCGGACTGCTTGACTTTTACAGAATAATCTTGACTATATACTTACACTGTTTGACGCTTCAATCTGACGTCATTACTTCCGGTTGCTGTATGTGTGTGTCGTTCAGTTGCCAACTCGCCGCTAGTATCCTCGCTAACACCGGTACAATTGCGACAGGGCGTTGTTAAGGAAATGAGACTTGCGCTTAATGCGTTTCAAGATTGACCGAATGAACATTCTCAAACAAAGCATTGCGTTCTACCCGTCACGTTTCTATACAAGTAAAGCGAACGAGCTTTTGATCCTTCTATTTTACTATCAATGCATCGCGTTCTCCCCCTCACGTTCTTTATAAAGTCCAGCGAGCTTTAGATCCAACTATATCATGAACAAGTCAAGACAACTACAGAGGATTTTACTCCTGGACCGCTGGAATTGTCATTGCATCACCATTGTTATTGTAAATGTCGACTCAGCTCAAAGCGAAAAGTAGATACAGGACGTATGTTGACACTAACTGCCAGTAATTAGCTAGCTGACCTACAGACGTCTTGCTCCTTACAACACTCGTGCACTGTAGGTAAACAACCTACTTACCCGTCAGCAAACTGAGTCCGCCGTACCTGATACCGATTGGAGATGCCACTGTTGGACACTTGGAGCTCGGGACATAGGTGGACGACATGGACGCGCTGTCCACGTACGACACCGTGAGGATCATGTCGTTCCCAGTGATGGAAAACTGCATGCCAGGCTCCGGTTGACAAATGTTGTAGGTCGTTGCGTTGGGCATAATACGGAACGCGTTTCCCTCGCATGTGCCATCCGTTAAGTGACTTCCAGCCTTGAGCATCATGATTTCATCCATGATCGCATTGATCCGTGGGATCTGGTAGGGGCCATTTTCGGACTGTAAACACAGGGACTCGTGCGGATTCGACAGACTGATGACACCAACAAGACCATTTGTCTGCGTGTAGGAGAGGATCTGCGCGTCCAAACCCGACTGAGGGCCGAACTCAGCGTACACGTCGTAGCGCACCATGTTCCGGTTATTCGAAAACACGGGCACGGCGGACATCGTGTAGCGGCCGCTGGAACGAGAGCCGTCTTTCAGCTCGACGTCGATAGCAAGACTCGGCCACAGTGCGTTCATGTCGTATTCGAGAAATCGTGTGACGTGTTCGGCGAGTGGCGTGGCGTCTGATAGTGAAAGAAACAGAGCGTAGACCGCCGCGGCACAGTGAATCGTCGGTGGCATCTGACTTGAGGGGAGCTGGAAGTAGTGTCAGGTCGGGATCAACAGCAGAAGGCAAAAATAATTGTGGTGAGTTTCAGGACCGTGGTCCACGACGTAGGACAAAGTCTGCTGGAAGAGTCTCGAATGTCCTGCATTGTGTACACCTGCTCGCACATCGAGTAAGCACTCATCTGTAATCCATAAACATTTGTCCGGATGGCGCGCCTGACTTCGAACGCCTCAAGCACGCGACTAAGGAGTTGCAGCGGTCGTTGGTTCGATTGTTCCCTCGTTAATGTTTGCGAATAGCCCATCACTGACTCTCTTGGGTCCTCGCCCGCATGCATCCGCCTCGATGAGTCCAGCAGGGCAATACAGCTCCTTGAAGATAAAGAACGAGACATGTGCAGCAAAGGCAGGTTCGTATGCGAGAGAGACCTCTTGACGGTCGCGTTACACACACTACTATGCACAATGCCTCGTAACGTCTGAGCCAGAACGAAGCGCCGGATCCAGTAGCATATCGTGGCTGCCCTCGGTTGGCATCGAGAAACCTCGAAGTTCTAAAGTATGAAGACTGATGCAGGCGTGCACATGAGGCCCTTAAACGTCTACAGCTGTGCCTCGATGTCCACGTTTCGCCAACGCTGTGAGGTGACGTATTGCAACCGCCCAACATCTTAAGATACTTGCAACGTCGTTGTCTACCCGCCTCCGACAACAGCAGCGTTCCTCTCATTCGACAGCTGGGTAAACCGATGCTGCGGGAGAAGCCACATCCTATTCCAGACTTCGACCTGACCTCTGCTCCTCCATGAATCGTTGAGGCAGCCGGCGTCGCACCCGTTGTGATATCGCGATGGTTTGACGATTTGTACTTCCCTGAAATCCAGTGAGTGAACCTGAACGTCGATTATGTGCTAATGACTATACGATATCGGTGTGCTTCTACCTGGACTACATCATACTCCTCTTCGCTGGCTCAGTCTGCTTGGCTCGATACTGCGGGCATCACGGGGGACACTTAACAGAGGGCACGCGGAAACAGGTATCCAGTCCTGGGGGACAGACAGGGCGCGAAAATCGCAGAAAACGCCGGGTACCAAACCGGTGACCCCCGATAGGCCGCTGGTGCACCTGGACGGTTCCAATCAGAATCACGTTCTAGGCAAGTTCGCTTCGTGGGACCAAGATTCGCGCTCGGCGACCGGACCGGCGACCTGGAAGCTGACGTAGAATAGCAGGAACTAGGTGAAGGTGACAACCGCTGTCGCCGTGCCCCACACCCCGAAGTCTCTGGGTTGTTGCTCTCCTTTCAGGTTGCACGCTACGCTGCCTCCCCGTGGCGCACGCACCGAAAAGAAAACCTCCTTCTCATGACCTGAGCCCCCCAGCGGGGGACTTCCCGCCCAGGACAAGAGGACCGGCATACCGGCTCGTTGGAGGTCGTCGTCGCTTGGCCCTGTTGCTTGAAGGCGCAAATTTAGAAGTGCTTCTTTGAAATCGACTCACACCCAACATATGCCCCACCATGCCACCAGTCCAGTGGTCAAAAGGCTTAGCCCAACACGCGCGTGCCTTCGGTCATTCCGAAAATATGAGCCGATGTTTATTTGATTCCGCATGCTGTCGTTCGGAAAGGCTAAACGCTAGCCTGGCAATTTTCGCTCAAATTGTGGTGGTGTCAAGTACGTCCATTATTATGATAACTAACGACTGATAAGTGTGACAAGAAGTACGGCCCGGGTATCGGGTCGACAACTAAAGGGCTCCGTAGAGCCAGGGGCGACGGCTACGAGGTCAGAGACCCTCCTACCGAAGCCAACTACAAGTCAATCATGACCGCTGGCGCGACCAAGTAGACTGGGGACATGCGTACCGCCGGAGCGGCAGCACGTTCAACGCGGGTATGCTGCCATATAAGGCAACAAACCCCTTTAGGACCGCTTGCGCGGCCCCCGACGTGGAGTGCGAACACCGAAGTGACTGCGTGGCGTGGAGAACGCCAACCCGCCATATATCTCTCCGAGGAGCTCAACCATCTGCGATGGTGGCTCCCTTCAGCCGCTTGCGCGGCCCCAGACGTGGAGTGCGATCACCGAAGTGACTGCGTGGCGTGGAGAACGCCAACCCGCCGTATATCTCTCCGAGGAGCTCAACCATCTGCGATGGTGGCTCCCTTCAGCCGCTTGCGCGGCCCCCGACGTGGAGTGCGATCACCGAAGTGACTGCGTGGCGTGGAGAACGCCAACCCGCCGTATATCTCTCCGAGGAGCTCAACCATCTGCGATGGTGGCCCCCTTCAGCCGCTTGCGCGGCCCCCGACGTGGAGTGCGATCACCGAAGTGACTGCGTGGCGTGGAGAACGCCAACCCGCCATATATCTCTCCGAGGAGCTCAGCCATCTGCGATGGTGGCCCCCTTCAGCCGCTTGCGCGGCCCCTTGACGTGGAGTGTGCGCTCGCCGCAGCGGCGACACGTGGCGCGGGGTACGCCTCCAGTCCGTAAAACACCCCTGCTAGGGCCGCTTGCGCGACCCGTCGGTCTCCTACGCCCACACCCGCGACTGCGAGTGCAACGTGCCCGCGTCAGATCTTCGACCACGTCGGCTCCCCAAGGGGAGGATTCCCTCCGACGTGACTGCCCCGAAGGGAAAAAGACTGGCTTGTAATTTTCGCTCAAATTGTAAGAAGGGTCATGTGCGAGACCATGTCTCTGCACCACGAACGGCACGATCATCATCGCACGTACACCTGGGTGAACGGGTCTGCCAGTTGGGACATGTGAGCGAGCAGCTGCTCGGCAACAGCTTCAATTTAAGAGTTCAGTAAAAATTCTTAGCTAATACGATTGGGCAAATGAGAACGTTTGAGGTCGTAGAGGATATTAGGTGGAAGCGATTGAGTAGTCACGTGGTCAACCCACTTGCCAAACGTCGGACCGGGAACATTTTAATAACTACAAGGCGTTATTAGCGAGTAGAGGATTAGCTCAGAGGGGGTCTACTGTACTTGCCTGCCCATGTCATGCGTCGTCGTCACATGTCGTCGTCAGGATTTTACACGACGACCGCGTGTCGATTCGATATGCTGCGATCCAGCATAAGGATAGGATTCTGTGACATAACGCAGGTTGTATAATGCGAAAATTTGACTGCTCATATGACTGTCACCAACGCGACAGGACCAGAAAGGCAGAATGCAGCCTTGCACTGCGGATCCCCGAGTCTGACTCCAAAAGCAATCAAATCGTTATCAACACGGACTGAGTGTTCAAAGCCGGCAAGACCACTCTCGCTCTTATGGTGCGCAGACACGAGCAAAAGAAGCCGTGTGGCTATCTACTCGAGACGAACGAACTGCCGCGGCGAACAAATGGAATAGCAGACAGTGCTTGACCATAAGGCGCTCGAGACGAGTCAAGACACAAGAGACATCGCATTTTCTGCATCGGCTGTGATACAGATTCGCTCGAGCTTCTCCGACTTTGACATCGCATTTCTACATGTTCTCTCGCTTTGCGAAAGCAACAAATTTTATGGGGTAATGATTCGAAAAGTGCAATGCCTAGAAGTAGTCTAGATGAGCTACGGAACGCTCCACAAGAAGCCGCCGACATGCCGCTGTGTTACAACAATCGGTCACATCATTTTAATCACACAGCCACTCGCTCACGTGATACCTCTTTACAACGTTTGATGACAGCATGTTGTTGGGACGGTTGCTGTAAAAAGTGAATTGATATGGCTAAGCTGTCTGTTGCTATGTGTCGATATAACATTAGATTCTCTTAACGATAGTACCTGCACATGTGCTGGTGACTTTTGGCTCACTTGCGCAGTCATCATTATTCTGCAACAACGACTCGTAATGCTCGCAACTAGACTCAACTAGTGATGTCGACTTGTTTTGTTCTGCTCGCAGATCATTACATGTTAGTGTTCATCCATCGTGTCTCGGTGAGGCAACTGAGGCTTCATTCTACCGATCAGCGTAATGCCACAAGTCGACGAAAGCTACAGTGTTGCTGTCTACTATCATATCAATATAACAAATGATGGACATGCCCGAGCACAAAGGCTTGTTAGCTGAAGTTTGTTCACCACACTGGACGGGAGAATGCTGGAAGCTAAGATTCCTGCACGAGAATTTACAACATAGCGCGCGCAGACCGACACCGCAGCTATATGGTGGTAGTCAAGAAACATCCTCTAAGATATCACCTTGACGAGGTGAACAGATCCGCGCTCGTATGATATCGACAGTGGAGTCTATTGAGCAGCATACGCAGCACTTTCTTAGGGGTACAATAAAATACAGTCAGGGTTATAGCATATGGATGTCTGTTTATCGTAGGCAACACCGATGGGATCTAGGAACGAAGCTGGAAACATGCGATGACGCGAGACTATAGTAAGCCGGCATGCCGGCAAGCCGAAATGATGATGTGATAAGTACGTCCGCTGCAATGATGAGTAGAGTTGGCAAGGCTACCCTGAGAGCCATCGCAATAGATGACAAGCCATTATTAACGACCAAAGCCACTCAAAGACCTGGCGTTGCTTGCTGTACTTTCGATTGATCGGACATCATAAAACTATTAGAGTTTACATTCGACTTGTCTACGCCCCACTCTCTCTTGCTTTCTCGTAAAACAGCCTTCATGCATGCGATGCAAATACAGCAGATTCGCAAGATGCAATACAGCGTTATTCGGACAACGAAATAGCACTTTGCTGACCGAGAGCTAGCGATACTACCACCCGCCATTACCAAATGCAGCTTACTCTTCAGCGACGCTCAACCTCGATTCCTTCAGTCGACAAGAGGAAGCCTTGCGTACCTGCAGGGAATCATCGCTGGGTCGACAATGTAGATCTTGATAGCTTGCAACTGACCCGTATTCATCTGTTCACTTTTTGGCACAACAGTGTGCGGCCGTTGGCCATAGCCAAGACGACTAGCTAATTGATAGTGAGGGTAGACAAAGGCTACTTTTCATATATAACATTGGAAGAAGTT